GCGGGGAGTGTACAGGAGAGCAGGTGGATACAGGGGAGGCCACAAGAGACTGAGCTTTGGGTCACCTGGAGCTCAAGTTAAGAGACAGAAAATGCCCAATATGGGTGCTGGGTAGGAGCAGCTACTGACCCACTTCTCTAGTTTATTTACACTTTAGTTTCATGTGTATGAGGTGTATTTAGGCAGGTGTGCACCATATCACACGTGGAGGTTAAAGAACAACTTTTGAGCATGGGTTCTTTGCACCATACAGGTTCCAGGATTCAAACTTAGGTTTTCAGACTAGGCTTCAAGTGCCCTTACCTAAGCCAACCAGTGGTTCCCAACCTTCCTAACACTGTGACCCTTTAATACTGAACCCCAACCATAAAATTATTTCATTGCTACTTCTTAACTGTAATTTTGCAACTGTTCTAAATTTTAAGTATCTAGTATTTCCTGTAGTTTTAGGTGACCCATAGGTCGAGGACCACTGTGTTAAACCCAAAGCCCCACTGCCTCCTGAAGCCCTTGTTTCATTTGGTTGGTTGGTTGGTTTTTAAGGATAGGGTCTCAGTGCCAAGAAACAGCTCAGCTGTTCAGAGCACTGGCTGCTCTTTCAGAGGACTCGAGTTCAATTCCCAGCACCAATATGGCAGTTCACAACTGTAACTCCAGTTCCAGGGGGTTCTGATACCTTCATTCACATACATGCTGGCAAAACACCAATGCACATAAAATAAAAATGATTTAAAATCAAACAAGTAAAATAAAGATAGGAACTCATTATGTAAGTCAGACTGGCCTCAAGCTCAAAGGTCCATCTGCCTCTGCCTCCAGAGTGCTGGGACTAAAGGTGTCATGATGTCCAAGGAAGCCCTCACTTTCTGGAACTCTTTCCAAATGTTCTCTGACTCTTTTTATTATAGAAGTGTTTCATTAGCTCCCTATTCACCACAGATCTCACAATGGAGAAGGTTCGATAGAAAACTAAGGATAGCATAACCTCCGGACCCTAACACGATATATATGAGACAGACACACAGAGCTTAACATTCTCAAAGGACAGAAGCGATAAGTTAGTCAGTGGAGACCCTGAGTTCCCAGCAAACAAAACCTCTAAATTCTACCAGGATGTTCAGTCACCACCTCCAAGTCCCCTCCACCCTTGAGATTTTTTGTTTTGTTACACAGGGTCTCATTTATCCCAGGCTGGCCTCAAATTCAATGTGTAGCTGAAAATGACTATAATTTTTTAAAAGAATTTTATTTATGACTTGTGGTGTTTTGCTTGTATAGATGCCTGTGTTCCCCCTCTGTGGCTAGTGACTGCAGAGGCCAGGTAAATGCTGGACATCAAGGCCAGGTCCTCTAGAAGAACAGTCTATACTGATAGCTACTGAGCCATCTTTCCAGCCCCAGTCTTTAACTCCTGATGCTACCTCTGATCTCCCAAGGGTAGCAGCACCAGAGTCATACTTACCAAGGAAGCACTAACTAAGCTACACTCCCACCCTTATTCTTACAAGATTTATTTATTTTATGTGCATCTATGTTTTGTCTTTATGCATGTGTATCAGGTGCCTGCCTGGTGTCCACTAAGACAGAAGATATCGGGTCCCTGGAACTAAAGCTAAGGACGGTTCTGAGCCTTCAGGTGGGTGACGAAGAAGCAAACTTGGAGGCTTCTGTAAGAGCAGGTGCTCTTCACTGATGAGCCATCTCCTCAGCCCCATCCTTTTTTTTTTTTTTTAATTAAATTATATGTGTGCACGCGCATGCAAGTTTTGCTGGGTCTCCTGGAGATGAAGCTCAGGGGTTGTAACCCCGGAAGTGGGTGCTGGGAACTGAACTCTAGTCCTCTGAACAACCAACCAAGCCCTGCACTGAGGCAACTGGGGAGGGAAGACGTTATGTTATTCAAGCATCTGCTGGCCTCTATCTCCTACTCTTCTTGCCTCTACCTTCCAAGTACTAGGACTGCATGCTGTCTCACTTGTCACACACAGCTATGGAGTGGCTTTTCTTAAAAAACATTTTTTTCAGCCGGGCGGTGGTGGCGCACGCCTTTAATCCCAGCACTTGGGAGGCAGAGGCAGGTGGATTTCTGAGTTCGAGGCCAGCCTGGTCTACAGAGTGAGTTCCAGGACAGCCAGGGCTACACAGAGAAACCCTGTCTTGAAAAAACCGAAAAAAAAAAAAAAAACAAAAAAAACACATTTTTTTCCTTTCTTTTCACATCATTTTTGTCTGGAGCCAGAGAGTGACTCTGAAAGAATCCGTTCTCTCCTTCTCCATGTGGGCCTGGGGCAGGAGTCCGGAATCAGACCCAGGTCTTCAAGCTTGCTGGCAGCTTTCATCCACTGAACCATCTAGCCAGCCCTACGTGGCCTTTCTAACCACACTACTCTGGATCACCCCAGGCCCTGACCCCCAGAGGATGCTCTCGGCCCCTGACCTTCTCCAGCTTCACCTCTTGCTGAAGCACCAAGAGCTGCTACTGGAAGCCGATACAGACAAGATGAAAACGTTACCACTCACAAGGCACCGAGTAAAGTCACTGTAATAACTGTCGCTCCACATCGGCCCACGCTGCTCTTCTATGAACTTGCTCTCTTTTCTGGCTGCCCTGAGTGTTGGTGTTATGCTCTATGACGGAGGCTACTAACTGCAGTAACACTTACTTGCTGTGTGCCCCGCACAGTATCATTCAACTCTCACGACAGCCTGCTAGGTAGCTGCTACCATGACTCCTTATCCACAAGGGAAAGCCAAACTTAAGTTCCAACAAGTAATTTATCAAATGCATACAATAGGACAGCATGGGACAGCACAGGCAGGAGGTGAGCCCGCCCCCATCTCGTCTGCCCTGCAACCCAGCTCTAATCATTGTGGCATCCCACCTCTAAAGCACGTGTGCCAAACGCACTGGTGTGCTCCGACCCCAAAGTCCTGTGAGGAAGCAGAGCCACAGCCTCAGCTCTAACAACCCTGGTTTTAAAGAAGTGTCTCCTCATCAATAGGGAACGCCTCTGTCCTTGAACTCCGTTCCCCTCACTGTAAGTGCTGAAAAGGTTCACATGAACACACACATACTGAGAACACTTCTGACAAAGCTTCTCAACTGTTCAATTATCTCCAAATGTGTCAAAGAGTTGTGTTGGTCTTTATTTTTGTTTTGTTTGAGACAATCTTGCTATGTAACCCAGGCTGGCCTAAGTCTACCTACCGTCTGCACCTTCCATCTTCCTAGCGCTGAGATTACAGGCCTGTCACCACACCCGGCCCCCCTTACCTCTTCCTTAAGCAGTAACTAGAAACCCTACACAGTTCTATACATTGCTATGCCGTGTTCTTCTTATAAAAGCAAGATTCTTAAGTTCAAACCCAGCCCATCTCAAAAAAGGAAGTAAGAGTCTGCTGCGGCTTCCAGGTCAACCTCGGCACTCGACAGAGGCAGGTGGCTGTTGGGTTGAGGCGAGCAAGCAGGGGACTATACAGAGAGACCTTGTCTCAAACAAACAAAGAAGGGAAGGGAAAAGGAAAGAGAGAAAGAAGGAAAACTGCACGACAGCAGGAGGGACTGTGTGCCCCGAACAGTATCATTCAACTCTCACGACAGCCTGCTGTGTCGTGGAGGCAGCCTTTTCCAGCTGCCTCCAAGCTCGGTGACTCGTTCTGTGAAAAGCTGAACCTAAGTGGACGCGGCCTTTCTTAAGACGGCCTTTAGCAATGTATGCAAGCTCAAGTCCAATATGCAAAAGGCCAACCCAACGGCCGCTGGAGCACACAAGTGGAGATACTAGTCCCAGTCAGGTCTAAGACAAAATGGTAGCAAAGACAGTCCCCATCTACCCAAATGGGGACAGAGATGGAGGTACGCAGACACTAGATTCTATCCTGTTGCAATGACTGAAGCAATCAGACTCCTGCAGATCTCCTCCCAATAAAACTTTCATGCCATGGACCCAAGGGTGACCCAATCCAACAGCGGCAGAGACGGGTTTTACATTACCTGTCTCCCTCACCCTAATGACCTCTCTATTTTCTCCTTTAGTCCTGACCACATACTCCACCACAATCTTCCTGGCCCAGAGACCAGCAGTAATATAACGCCCCCACCCCACCCCCCAAAAAAGAACAAGTCTCTCCAAAAAGAGAGTTACGACTTAACTAAACGACCCTGAGTTTTGAACAGGGAACTTTACCTCCCCACCTCCCCCTCCTTCCTTCAAAGGACTGGCGTAAGCAATGGCTTCATTTTCTGTTCCGGGAATCCTGGTACTTCCTAGAGAAAGAAAGCGGATTGGAAGACACAAACTCAGGGCCAGTGACAAGATGCTCCCTCCGTCGGTGAGACCGCCCCCGCTACGCCTGGGGGAGGAAGGCCCCACCTCTCTCCTCCAAGCTAGCTCAGGTCCCCCTCCCCCTTCTCCAGCCTCCTCTCCACCCTCTCCCCACCTGCTGCCCTCTTCCCAACCTGCCCTTCCCGACACCCCAAAGCAACCTCCGTGAGAGCCGTGCGCAGCCGAGCCCCCCACCGTAGGCCCTGATGCTAAGCCCCGGGCCCCATGCCCCGCGATGGGTGAGGGAGAATAACCACGGCAAGGCTTTTCTTTGGTTCCCCCCACAGCTCAGGCGGGGGAGGGAAGAGAGAAAAGGCAGCATTCCTCACAGCCCTTAAAACACAAGGAAAAGATCCAAACAGCCACACCGCCCCCGCGTCACCTCCCACCGGTCCAGCTTGCCTCCCCTCTCAACCCAAAGCTCACCTCTGCAGCCCAGGTCGCCCCCTCGGGCGAGGCGGAGGACACATCCGTGTGCGCCCCCCGCCCCCACCCCAGCTCGGCGTCCTTCAGCTGCGGGGGCAGGAGCGGGGCTGGGGTCCCCAGCTCTGCGAGGATCACCCCCGGGCACCTCGCCAAGGCGGTGCGAGCCTGACCACGGCGAGGGGCCTCGGGCTCCCACCCTTACCCAGCCTCTTCCCTGCCCGGACCCGCCTTCCCTCTCCAGCTCCGAACCTGTTCCTGCTCCCTGCGCCGCGGCTGCCACCGCCGCCTCCGCCCCCGCAGGTTCCGCCTGGCTCTCCGGCCGCTGCCTCCCGCTCCGCAAACCGACCGCGGCGAAGCTGCTCCGCTGGCCCGCTCCCCGGCTCCCTCCTGCCCTCCCTCCACCTAGCACCGGAAGCCGCGACGGCAACAGGAGCTGTGCGGCGAACACCCACCCCCCCTCAAGCCCGGGATACTTCCCACCTCCACGATCGCGCGAGAAGTGCGCGGCAGCGAGCGGCAGTTCTCGCGAGACCCATCACCATGGCAGCGGCTGCAGCAAAAGCAGCCGGTGCTGAAGCTGAGCCTAGGCGGGGGCCTGTGTGGGGGCTGGAGGATCCGGAGGCACGGTGTGGAGAGCAGGCTGTGGGCACTGAGGTGAGGCTCCCGAGCGAGCTCCGGGGCCTTGCCACATTCTGGCTGCGCTGGCCACAGGGCTCGGGCCAGGGAGTCTCTGGGGTTTCTTAGGCAGAGCCTAAGTGGAGTATGGCCAGTGCTGTAACCTGCCCTAGTCCATCTTATGGCTAATAAACAGCGCTTCTTCGCATGCACCCCACTTGCTAATCCGCTCAACTCCCTAATTCCTAAGGATACTTTCTCTGAGATCCTTTCTCATAAAGGAAAAGGAGATAGAACGTTGCATTCAAGGAAACATCTGGATCGGGGTCATCTAGGAGGTTAAACTTAAAGATGGGCAGAAACTCAAGAGGCAGCTCTCGTGAAGTCTCTCTAGATGAGTCTGGATTTTAGTATCCCAAGGAAAGAGGAAAGAACACCCAGGTCCCCGCCTTCCTTCCCTGACACTCATCTTTTGACGTGATGGAGACACACTGCCTCAGACTAGCCACAAGCTATGTTAGAATCTGCACTAGAAGGGTTCTCACCAGAAACACTGAACAGCCCTTTCTTTAAATGCATCTAGTATAAGAGCTTGGTGCAATCTCTCCTTCCAAAACATAAGCAGGAAAGTAGCCACTCAGCGTCTATCCCTTGACACATTCATCTCTGGTTTATACCTTTTTACTAGTTTGTCTTCTATTTGCCTCAAGAATAACACGACTGGCCAGGCAGTGGTGGCACAGGCTTTTAATCCCAGCACTGGAGACTGGGGAGGCAGAGGCAAGTGGATCTCTGAGTTAAAGGCCAGCCTGAATTACAGAGCAGGCTCCAGGAGAACCAGGAAGAGATGGACAACAAGGAGCTTGTTGATAATGAAGAGAATTCTATTTGTCCCAACTCAGGACTCACTGCTGTCGAGAGCTTTTGTTAAACATTGGTTTTTGGTTTGTTTGTTTGTTTGTTTGTTTGCTTTTTACCATTTATTAACTTTGGAGTGTGTGTGTGTGTGTGTGTGTGAGATTGTGGGTGCACTTGTGTCCCTAGCAAGATGTGGAGGTTAGAGAGGACACCTTTCAGGCGTCGATTCTTGACTTTTCCCTTGTTGGGGCAGGATCTCTGGTTTCTGCTGCTGTAGTGCACACTCCAGGCCTGCTCTGTGCAATTCTCCTGACCTCACTCCCCATCTTGCTTTAGGAAAGCTCTCATTACACCACAGGCATCCAGTATTTAAAAAAATATATTTGTTATTGTTGTTGTTTTTAAGACAGGGGCTTACTATGTAGCCCCTACCCCCGGCCTTGAACCCACTTTATAGACCAAGCTGGCATTGAACTCACAATCTGCCTGCCTCTGTCTCCAAAAGTATTTCATTTAACTATACTTATGCACATACGTCTGTGTGTATGAGTATGTGCCTGTAAGTGTGGTAACTGCTGCGGGGAGAAAAATGTAAGATCCCCTGAAGATAGAGTCACACACAGTTGTGAGTTGTCCCACATTGGTCTTGGGATCAGAGTTCCCTGGGCAAGAGCACTCAGTAAAAGCCTGATCTCCCTCCACCTTTAAAACAGATTCTGGGGATCGAACTCAGGTGAGGCTTATCTTGCTAGTACTTTTAATGGCTGAACTATCATCTCCCTAGCACAGACTCTTGAGTTTTTAAAGGCAAAAGATTCCCCAAAATATAGTTACTGTGCTGGGTAGTTTTATGTCAGCTGGACCCAGGTGACAGATTCATGCAGGAAGAGAGAACCTCAGTTAAGAAAACAACTTGCTTCATCAGCTTGGCCTGTAAGTAAGCCTGGGGGACATCTTCTTTGATAATTGAAAGTCAAGCTGGCTGTAGGAGGTGTCACCCCTGAGCGGGTGACTTGTATAAGAGAGCAGGCTGAGCAAACTCACGTGCAAACAGCAATCCTCCGAGGCCTCTGCTTCGGTCCCTGCCTCCGGGTTCCTACCCTCGAGTTCCAACTCAGTGATAAACTCTAGTAAACCCTTTCTTCCTCAGGTTGCATTTGGACAGTAGGAGTGAGATGTTGCCGTCACAGACCTGACCATGTGTGGGAGAGGGTTGTGGTGTCGTTTGAACTCTGGGCTGGAAAAGCCAGTGTGTGCTCCGAGCTCAGTGTGGGCCTTAGAAGGTGATGGTGAGAGCAGAGCCTGGCCTGGGAAGTTACAGGGAGAAACTCGAGAGTTCCTCAAAGAGTCTCATATTTTAAGAACCACTAAAGTGCAGGTGTGGTGCTTCACACCTTTAATCCCAGGCTCTGGAGGCAGAAGCAGATAGATTTCTGTGAGTTCACAGCCAATGTGATGAACATAGTAAGTTCCAGGCCACCCAGGGCTATATAGAGAGACCCCCATCTTTAAAAATAAAATTAGCCGGGCAGTGGAGGCGCACACCTTTAATCCCAGCACTTGGGAGGCAGAGGCAGGTGGATTTCTGAGTTCGAGGCCAGCCTGGTCTACAGAGTGAGTTCCAGGACAGCCAGGGCTACACAGAAAAACCCTGTCTTGAAAAACCAAAAAATAATAATAATAATAACTAAAGTGAAAATTTTACTTTGCTGGGACAATTGATACTGGACAGCTGGGGCTGAAGCATCAGCTGTGATTAAAGAATCAGCAGTCCAGGGTAGTGGCACAGGACTTTAATCCCAGCACTTGGGAAGCAGAGTCAGGTGGATCTCTGACTTTGAGGCCAGCCTGGTCAACTGTCACCATGTGGCAGTGGGTGGGGATGGGGGAGATGTGGAGGGAGAGAGTGAGCACAACCCAGCTGCAGCAGAGAGCCAGCATTTTGGAGATGCCAGAACCCGTGGGACACCTGCCAAGGACAGAAGTAACTGTGGAACAGAGCTGCCCTGGGCCAAGGAGACAAGCTGGCAGAGCTGAGGAAATGGAGGCCTCTGGGCCCCAGAGAACCAGGAGTGGGTCCCAACACTGACCTTTTCACCATGTTGGACTCTGGTTTTGTTTTGGTTGTTTGTAATTGCCCTGGTTTTTCCTTTTTTGAAGCAATAAAATATGGAACGTATTTATTTTATAGGACCCCACGCTTAAGAGACTTTGGAATTTTACCGAGATTTTGAATATTTTAGAAGAACATTGAACTTTAAAAGAGACTTTGGATGTTTCTAAAGAGACTGGATTTTTTTTTTTTTTTTTTTTTTTTTTTGGTTTTTCGAGACAGGGTTTCTCTGTGTAGCCTTGGCTGTCCTGGAACTCACTCTGTAGACCAGGCTGACCTCGAACTCAGAAATCTGCCTGCCTCTGCCTCCCAAGTGGTGGGATTAAAGGCGTGTGCCACCACTGCCCAGCCTGAATTTTTTTTTAATGTTTGAATTTTTAACAACTATGGGAAACTTCAACATTGGAATGTTTTGTGTCATTCTAACATGCCACATGCTACATTGTGGGTAACTGAGAAAGGAAAGGTTCTAGTTGAATAGTGATGTATCTGTGTGTCATATTGTCAAGGGGTCATCTGTACTGGCTAGTTGATGTCAACTTGATACAAATTAACAATCATTTGGGAAGAGGAAACCCTAGTCAAGAAAGGACCTCAGCCGACTATGAGCAAGCCTGCGGGGCATTTCTCTCAACCGATGATCAGCACGGGAGGGCCCAGGTCACTGTGGGCAGTGCCACCGTTGAATTTTATAAAGCAGGTGAGAGCTGGTTAAACACTCAGAGGTTAAGGGCACAGGCAGCTTTTCCCAAGGACCTGGTTCAATTCACCACATCCATATGGTGGCAAGCAACCATCTGTGACTCTAGTCCCAGGCCCTATGGTCACTGTGTGTGCATGGCACACAGACATACATGTAGGCAAAACACTCATGCACATAAAAATAAGTTCAAATCTCAGGGGAAAAAAATCAGGAAAGCAAGCTGAGCCAGCAGTGGTGGGGCGTATCATTAGTCCCAGCACTCAGGAGGCAGAGGCAGGAGGATCTCTGTGAGTCTGAGGCCAGCCTGGTCTACACAGCAAGTTCTAGAACAGCCAGGACTCCATAGAAGAAACCCTGTTGCCGGGCGGTGGTGGCACACGCCTTTAATCCCAGCACTTGGGAGGCAGAGGCAGGCGGATTTCTGTGTTGGAGGCCATCCTGGTCTACAGAGTGAGTTCTAGGACAGCCAGGGCTACACAGAGAAACCCTGTCTCGAAAAACAAAACAAACAAAAAGAAAGAAAGGAAGGAAGAAAGGAAGGAAGGAAGGAAGGAAGGAAGGAAGGAAGGAAAGAAAGAAAGAAAGAAAGAAAGAAAGAAAGAAAGAGAGAGAGAGAGAAACCCTGTATCAAGAAGGAGGGGGAAAAAAGCCATGGGGAGCATACCTCTAGATAGCACTCCTCCATGGCCTCTGCTTCAGTTCCTGCCTCCAGGCTCCTGCCCTGAGTACTGCCCTGTCCTTCAGTCACTATGGAATCTGTGCGGTGAAGTTAACCCTTTCCTCCTCAGCTTGCTTTTGGTCACAGTGTTTATCTCACCAATAGAAACCTTAAGACAGTTACACATTCATGTGGTCCGAGCTCTGACACGGCGTTACTGTGATTACTAAACTCTCCGTTTCTCTCCTAAAACTTTGTAATAGCACCCCACCAGGTTCTATACCCCCTCAGTCGCCTCCATGTGCTTTTCAACTGCTCACTCTGCTCCCTAGTGCCTCTACAACAGGCCTCATGGAACCCCAACAAGGAGAGGAAACCTGCTGATGAAGACTTTGAGTCAGTGAAAGGAAGTTGAAA